TTAAATGTAGCAAGCTTAACGTCCCCAAAGTTGTATAACGTAAGTTTTAACAAACTAGCAATAAAAATCTGGTGGTCCAGCGTTAGCTTGGAGTTAGAAAAATTACCGTACTGATCCAAGTAGTCAAAAAAGCACCATGATATAAAATTCAGGAACCCCGAGGTGATGCGTACGGGGAAAAACACTGTCGATTGTGAGAAAGACAACCGTTACTATAAAAGTCAATAACTATACTTGGAGGGTTCATTAACAATATCCAAAGAAAAGCCTTTAGAAATTTAGGATTTGTTTCAAGAAACTCTAGAGAATTTTCAGAAACAAGAACGAATCTCTACTTTTTAACTGTTTTGTTCTACCTAAATTAGAATATACATCACAGGTAGGGATCGACCGATATGATTTTTTATTATATTTCAGTATAAAAATTGACTGATTATGCGCCTTTAGCAAAAATTGCTAAGAAATCAAATCAGGTAAACCAAGAGGTTCAGGATAATGTCCCTTACTCGATTTCTCAAAGTTTGTTTTGGAATACCTTTGAAGAACTTACTAGTATGACAGCAAGTAAATTACCACCATATAGGAAGAAGACTGATATGATAATTGTTGATTCGATGAAAACCGAATCTATTTTTCGAATTTTCGGGATTTCGATCCCTTTTAAATTAACAGTAGAAATTACTTTTAACTATAGTTTTATTAAAAATAATAAAGTGGTGCAGACTGGCACCGGGATTTCGCTTTCGTCGCGTTCGAGATTCGTTTCTCGACTCTTTTCTTGGTCGCACTACGCACCCCATATCCCTCACGGTACTCGCGGAGTCGGAACTTGATAGTCAATGTGAGAGATGGCGCAGCATGTATTAAAATTAAAACTAATTCGGTGCAAACAATAATAGTATATTACATACCGAGCGGAGAAGTACTCTATTACAACCGAGCGTCTAAATATACAGGGTGTTATTGAAATACACGTACATATTAAAATGGGGAATAGTATGTAATGACCAAAAACGATTGGCACCAATTTTAACTTCAAATTCTAAAATTTAAATATTGGGGAAGAGTCCCCTTTTCCGACCTACTAGTTTCCATATTTAAAGAAGTAAAATAAATCGAAATTGAACTTACCCATAGAAATTGCACTGTTGCCGTAGCAAAACCAATTAATTCAAAATAAAGTTTATTACAGTAATTGTTCAAAATGCAATCGTCTTTCCAAAGAACTTTGAACATTAGAAATTAGTCTTGGATTTTGTCGTAGTTCCTCGGCTACCGCATTAACTTTATTGGTTAATTGTTCAACACTATTAATAGGTTCATTATAAACCAGTTGTTTCATGTGACCCCACAAAAAGAAATCGCATGGATTTAAGTCCAGAGATCTCGGAGGCCACTTAGTAGGTCCATTTCTGCCTATCCACTTTTGAGGAAATCTAATGTTCAAAAACTGCCGTACGTTTAAATCAAAGCGCCATCTAGTAGGTACCACATCCGTTGCCTTAATTGTAACGGTATCTCTTCTAGGAGTACTGGCAAAATATCTTCTAAAAAGTGGAGATATCCTGGCCCATTTAATCTGTTCAGGAGAACATAAGGCCCGATTAAATACTGATCTATTATGCCAGCCCAAACATTTATTGAAAATTTTCTTTGATGCCCAGTTTCCCTAATGGCGTGAGGATTTTCATCACTCCAAATATGCGTATTGTGCATATTGAACACGCCATCACGAGTGAATGAAGCCTCGTCAGTATACAATAATATTTTTAGAAAATCAGGAATATCAACACATTTTTGAATCATCCATTCACAAAACTCCACTCTCTTTTCTTCATCACCTGGATATAAGGCCTGGACTTTTTGGATGTGATAAGGATGTAAACCTTGTTCTTTAAGTGTCCGCCACACAACAAATGAGGACACTCCAATTTCAAGACCTAGTCTTCTACAACTTAATTGAGGCCGGTTTTCAACAGCTTCCAATATTTCTTCTTCGGCCGCCAATGTTCTTTGTGTTCTTGTTCTCCCTCGATCTGCATTGACACTCTCAAATTTTCCATGGTCTCTTAGATGCTGAACAGTTGAAATAAACGTACGACAGTCCGGAATTCTCCGATTTGGAAACCGTTCGCGATACAGGATTTGTGCTTGCCGAGAATTTTCTCCAGCTGCCCCATAAACCAGCACTATATCCGTTAGTTCAATATTCGTAAATAGTGGCATCGTAAAAAAATATTTAAAAGTAATCGTAACAACACTTTTTACCAACTTGGAAATGACGCGCTCGTGTTAGCCAGATTCGTAAATCAACTAAAATTTTAATAATCTATAGTTTCAAAAATGTATAGTTTAAAAACAATCATTTATCAAATATTCTAGTTTTTTGATAACGAGGGTAGTAAAAACCAGTCTTCGGAAATAGAAATTAATTCGAAAATCTTGGCAACATGGTTATTTCTTACAAGACTAGTTTTCTTATCATCTAACAAAAACTTGCATATTAATTACTGGTGATGTTTAAAATAGGTAAATAAACCTAATTTATATAGGTCATCCTCAACATATCAGTGAAGTACGTTTGTTTTAGAATTAATTTTCAAAAATTAATAACTCCCTTAATAAGGGGTATTTTTAAAAAATAATATTTTTCTACATTCAGTGGGGATCTGCGCAATACCCAGTTTTAATATGTACGTGTATTTCAATAACACCCTGTATACACGAGGCTAAAATGAGTTCCCCTGAGGTATGCATTCGATTTTACTCACAATTTGCTATTAATTATTTTATGTAAGTTTTAAATAATAATAAATTGGTATTAATTTCTAATTTATTACATATTTTTTTAAACAAAGATACCGGACACCGTTGCTGGGCAAATAAGTTGGTTAAATCTGACAGGTAATTATTTTGCTAATTACATATTGAACGGCACTTTTAATAATAAAATTGTTTACAAATATAACAGACAGTTAACTTTAATGTACCTCACCAAAATTACGAACAGCTGCAGAATAAGCAACTTAAGGCATGATTCCGGAAAAATCAGTAAGAGATAGGAAAACATATAGTAGGGACTTTAGCTAGCCGGAAATCCTTTGATTTGGTGGTCACAAAAATAAGACATTTTTCTACTAATAATATAAATGTGCAACAATATTCTTATCATCCCTACCAAGTAGTGTGGCTAGTGAAAAGCTATTTTCTTCAGCTGGTATTGTATAGGGCCATTCATTAAGCGTAGAGACCTATAGTATCTCAGAATATCTTGGAAGTAGATCGCAAGAACAGGTCGATTTTTATTTTAAGGAAGACATATTGCTATATATCCACAACTGTCATGTCATTCCTCTCTCCTCCGTCACTCTCACTGGTACAATTTAAATAGGGAAAGTACCAAATACGACACATCGTCAAATAGGTAATTTTATGGGGAATTCAGCAATATGACTGTTCATTGCGTTACTTTTCATTCTAACGCCCTCGGATTAAAAACTGTTAAGTATTGTAAAGTCTGACACTTCATTTGAAAGCTAATTTTATTAGCAATCCAATTAACCTAAATATCTCGATTGCACTTGTAATAAAATGACATTAGTAATCATGCGGTCGATCCCTAATCGCAGGTATATGCTTATTAAGTTTACATTAATAAATTAAGATATGTTAATATTTATGGTAGGGAAGCCAGTGGCACTTTTTTTGGTACACATTTGTGCAAGGTTAATTTACAAATTTATAGTTCATTCTTGGAGATGGAAATAATTTGCTGCAGAATTCACTGATGGTCTAACCAGTATGAAAACTAACATTTTGAGGTATCTTTAATTTAATTTTGTGCTTAAATTATGCAAGTAAATATTTTTTTATCTCATTTAGTTTTTTGTAACGTGCTTTCACAAATAATATATACAGTGAGCACCATAAGTCTTACCCCCCTATCTAACTCATTACTGGAGTCTTGTTAGGAAAATCGCCGAGACACGTCGATTTTTGTTTTCTACAGTGTACAATTTTGTATGAATAGTTTACCCTTAATTTCATCCCGTACTGGAGGGGAGCAACCCTTTCGAAAAATTTAAATGGCATGGGGTGGTGAGTGATAGCTCATTTGAAAGAGAGTTTTATTCTCTATTCAACCGTGTAAAAAATTTTGAAATTTGCTTGATTAATTCTCGACTAATTGTCGTTTCAGAATAACGGAAATTAACGTAGCGCACTCATCCTTAGAATTAAAATTCGGCCCTGCATGATTTCGGTTTTGGTTCAGACGTGAAGTAATACTTTTTGCCATTAGAAGGTCACTGTTAGTTTAGTTGCTTTCCTATTTGGTGAGGTTTTGTTATTTTTAAACATTAATAAATCAACACGTAATAAAGCAAATTTCAATTTTTTTTGCACGGTTGAATAGAGAATAAAACCCCCTTTCAAATGAGCTATCACTCACCACCCCATGCCATTTAAATTTTTAGAAAGGGTTGCTCCCCTCCAGTAAGGGTTGAAATTAAGGGTAAACTAATCATACAAAAATGTACATTGTAGAAATCAAAAATCGACCTGTCTCGGCAATTTTCCCAACAAGACTCCAGTAATGAGTTAGATAGGGGGGGTAAGACTTATGATGCTCACTGTATATGCAATATAATATTGTATGTTTTTTTACTATTTTTTTTGTTATTTTTTACATTATTTCATATTTATGTATGTAAATACTACCCAATAATTGGCTTGCTGTAGGTCAGTGTATTTCCAAATAAATAAATAAAAATAAGGGCGGCGCTTATCAGTATTTCACACCATGGGGCAAAGGAGACTTGGTGTGTTCGTGCCGTTTTCTAATCAGAATATTATTCGTCGTCACTTCCGCTATTGCTATGTATAAGATCTATTTTTTTTTATTCTTTCGCAGAAGCAAATAGTTTTGCATGTACATGTCACTACCACATTTAGAGAGGGCGAAAGTACTAAATTTAAGGGAAAAATTAAACACCATTTTTGGACAAATACATTATATTTACCAACACAAAGTCTTACAATACAAAAAAAAAAAGAAAACAAAAACATACACTTTAAACTTATAACAATAAAAAACATTTAGTTATACCATTTTTTTTTTAATTTCTTCATAAATTTTCAGGTGGAATATTAGGCAGTGCACCTTCATGACTAAAAACACCAACTGAAAATTGGTCATTTTCCAAAAACAAATCAAAAAGAAAACAGATATTGCACTGAAACATGACCAAAAATCCAGCTTTTAAATATATCTATATAATATAAACACTAACTAAAAACTGCACTAATATTCCACCTGAAACAGGCCTTAATTTAATTTTTTTGTTTTACTACACTAAACCTATCTAAGTTTTCTTAAATCTACCTTAACTAAATGTTTAAATCTAGAAACTATTCTACACGCTAGAAGCTACCCTTAACTAAATGCTTTCTAGCATACTTTTTACAAATTGGAATTAGAAATCAATTCCAATGATGACTTAAAAGTAATAAATAGGTAGTCGCTGATCGAATTTTCGATATTTACGGTCTAAAAATAACTTCATACCATCGAATACGGTATCGAATACGAAAATAAAACTGATCTTTATCAGTTACGTTAGTGTAAACCTTCACAAAGTAATGTCAATACTCAATGCATTATTTGGCTTCAGCTATTCACTCAACGTTGTCTCAGAAAAAGATCCAAAATACTAAGTTAACTTTTATCACCAAATTTTAAAAATGTTTGAAGGTTTTTCTATTTTTTTGTGCACGAATTGAAATTGTATTATTGTACCATTTTTGTCGGAATATATTTAAGAGTTTTAAGATTTTTATCATGTGTTATGGTTCACAAGGCACTATGATCAGTTATCAATGTATAAAATCTACAGTTGTCAAATAAAGTGAAACATTGAAGACATTGTTTCCAAATTTTATGATTCAAATTCCAAATTAATTTTATTTGAATGAAAGTACATGGTTCGATGCGTTTTTTAAAACAATATTCATTGTGAACATTTGTTGTACTTTTAATTTATGCTATAAAATGAATAACGTTGTTTTTTTTTTATTAAAATCGATTGCAATTTTTTGCTGTGAATGTTATTGTTTCTTTTTCAAATTGGCAGACAATATATCTAGTGAAAAAAAAATTGATTAACAAATGTTTTATTCAATCTTTGATTAAAATTAAAATATACATATATTTAATTTTATTTACTAGATATGTCACTTAATTCACATATCAAATTTAGAATAAGAAAATAGCAACAAACTTTAATAAACTCTTAAATTAGCAATGTAATTTGATGTTATGTTAAATAAAAAGTAATTGTCGTTCAGTCTTTAAATGATTACCATGACCAAAAAGTTCTAAAAGTTGATTCAAAAAAAAGATAAACTAGTACACAGTATTTTCTATCACAGAAAATGTGTTTCTTGTAAATCCTAGTTCATAAATTATCTCAAATAGATAAACGTTTTTATACTATTTTTCAGCCAGCAATATGTTTCATTTTGGAAGAAATTGAGTGTACAATCCAAAAATTATAATAAAACAGTCATTCTCAAATTTATATAAAACTATATTTTAAGTAATAAAATTCAATTTAATATGTGTATTTAAGAGTCTCGAACAAAATAATTTTATCATTATTTGAAATAAAATTTACATGCAAATAATAACAATTATCATTTTTGTTCCACTCAAACTTATTATCCCAAAAAAAGTTTGAACATCTTATTAAAATGTGGGAAGACTATTATCAACAGTTTTAACACAAAATCTTTTAAAATTGGTATTTTGGAATCTTCATATAAAACACAGCTAAGTGATTTTTATTGCTCTTTGTAAAAAAGAGCATGTATGAAAGTAGTCTCCTAGAAATTGTTAGCTATGTTACATAAAAAAAATTGGATGGAGGGCGTTGAAGACACTCTGCAATAGCAGCTTTTATAATGTGCCTTAATTATTCTACCCTGGCCTCCACATTAAAAAAAGTTAACTAAAGAGAACATTCACAAATCGCCTACAACACATAACTATAAGGTAAAAATTTAGTTATCGGTTTTTTAAGAATACACCGAGTTAAAAAAATATATAAAATATTTTTCAGTATATCCCTGTGGACAATCTGAAAAGGCACAATATCTTTTATGTGAAGTTCCATGCAAAAATTGCTGACAAAACAATATTACTTATTGATTTTTAGTTTACATAAAAGTATAATATAACCTCCTCCTCCTCAAAATAAATTGATATTATTATTAAAAATAAATAAAAATTGACAATCTTTATTTTAATTTTGTATCTATAAGACTGGATGTAAATATAAATCAATAAGTATGTCAGATACCGACCAACATTTTTCATCAAAGGCTATGTCGCATTTTTATGAAATGATTAAAATATATTTCCAGTAAATAAACTTGGAAAACTTTCGAAATCTCGTCCTTACGCACAACTATACACATAAAATTGAAAAAAAAAAAAAAAAATACAAAATCACAGACAGCTTCACTTTACCTAGTTCATCTACTGGATTATGTAAATAAATAATAACGTCAGTCCATTTTAAAAGAATCCCAATTCAATATATTATTTTTTCAATCATAAATAAATCTAATAAAATAAAACAAAAAAATTGCACTATACATACTTCATTTATAACATAACTGTACAAAAGTAGGGACACGTTTTAAAACGAAAATTAGAACTTTGTGAATAAAATTGAATAAATAGAATATTATCAACAAATATTAAGACATTGGAATGTCGCAACAAATGAATCGATTATTACAAAACATTTACAAAACGAACCAATAATTTCTTTATTTTTTTATACTTGTTATAAAAATAACAATGTATAATTTTTCTGATAGAATATAAATATTGTAATGAAATTAAGCTATACTTTTTCAGATCATTATAGTAAATATTCAATATTTTGAAACATTTTAAATAAATGATTCAATAGATACCGATTTGCTTTGTAAAAATTCTGTAATATTTAGTTTCACCTTTACCGTTATTTTCTTTTAATGACAAAATTCAGTTATATTATATTTTAAATAATTAAACGCTCGTTTCAAAATATTTCAATGGTGCACAAGAATATGATTCAATAAGTAAAAATATTAATCAGTCTAATTCAATGTGGTTAAATAAATAAAAAAAAAACAAAAATTCTGATCAATATGTTTCATCAAATCTCTTATACTCTAGAATTTAAGGATATATCCACCAAAATTAAATGTAATTCATTATGTGGGTTTACTGGAACCTTTTTTTTTAAACACATTATAAAGACTTTTAATTTATGTACTATCACCTCGGTCTATATATTTAAGGAAGACTATTCCAGAAAGGATATTTATGAAACACTTAAAATTCTAGATTTTTGATATCCTGTCCTAACTTACTAAGAAATATTTTATAAACTACTATGCTAAATGTATAATTGCCTTTAGTGGTTGAATTTGGTAAATATTTAAGACTAAATGTGCATAATTATTTTCTTAAATTCACTTAATTCCAAGAATATTTTAACCTAAATGTCTGTATGGCAAATACATTATACATAAATAAAATGATTAAAATTCGTTTGCTTTAAGAATGGACCAGCGTGTCTTTCTAGAAACGCGACAAACAATTAACAAAAGTACAAAGCACAAATTTTTGGTATTCTCTACTTGCCGTGCTGATCGTATTTGAAAAACGTAAAGTGCTTTCAAAAAAGTTACACATGAGTAGCATTTTGCTGTTATCATTTTAAGTTTTGACATTTAAGGCTAAGATTCGTAGACGTCAAATATTAAAATGTGGACCTAAATATTATATTAAAATGTCAGCAACTTTATGATGTATATTATGTTTTCGATTCGTTATTGAAGACATGTCACAAAAAGATTATTGCGAGAAAAACAAGTTTAAAGTTTTACAATTGCATTATAATATATGGCTCATGATACCTTTCTATCTGATGAATAGCAGCTATTTACCAAAATTAGAACTATCACAAACAAAAAATATAGTATATTTTAAGTATATTGAGCCATAAAAATCATTTTTTCAAAAAATGTGACCTGACACCTCTATCCACTTGTGTCTTCTTTGGAAGTGGCCTCAATATATTCTAATAGAGTTTGCTTTTGGGCTCTATCCAGTTGCTTTTAAATTACCACGTTCATGTTTAATGATAAACAAATTATAATGTCAAAATGATATTCAAATTCTAACCTTAGTTATTCTGACCAATCAGCAGCTCCTGGCCTAGTCTACTTTTGAATAGATACTTAATGCAAATATATATTTATTTTAGAATGCAATATAATATTTCTACTTTTTGTATTCTAATAGAAATATATATTTGTATTAAGTATACAGGGTGAGCCTTTCAAAAGTAGCCTCCTCATAGACTAGGCCACGAGCGGCCTCTGTACATGACAGCTTACGACAAAAATGAAAATCACTTATGAATAGCAAACTCTGACTAGCATTAGAGAATACCAAAATGGCATGCTTGTCGTTTTGGTAATCGATCTTTGTTGAGAAGTCCGCTTAGCGTTTTCGTTATTATACGTTTTCGGTTGGAAGTTAGATAATAATAGCTCTCCAGGAAAGTCATAAATAGTGCCATGTCCACTACCATTGGATTGGTGGATCATCATCGTTGCTATTATTTTACTAACGGCCAATACAATTATAGGGGTTCATTTTTTATGATTTAAGATTTAATTTAATGTTTCTTTTATGTACTGACGTATAGTTTACCTAGGGCTAGTTATTTTTCATGTCAAGTTTCTAAAAATGCTCCTCAAACGAATTGGTCTAAGCAAATCAGCTTTTACGCTGAGTACTCTAGTATACAATATGTTATATAAACCCTGAGTCAAGTCAAAAGGGTGATGTGCCTGGTCGGTTCGTAAAGCAGAGTCTATAAATCTGATTCAACCACATTTATATCAGTAGCACAGTAGATTATTTAAATACTTGGGGGACCTAAAGTAAAAGTCATTTTTTAAAAAATCATAACGAAAAAATATGAAATCAATATATTACCAATGTGGTGGCCATATATCTTACCAGAATCTTGTAAAGCTGTCCCGACTATTTTAAATACACGCTGACATGTTGCCACTGACTGATAAATGTACCACTCAATATTACATTTTTTGGAAATGACACATCTTGAAAATTATTATTCAAATTTGCACTGTGTTTACAGTGGCCCCTTTTTGTTGAAACCATCGTCTGTCATGATAATCGGGAACGTTTTGTAGCGCTACTGCCCAAAAATCACAGACCAGAAGTAAAATACTCTTTACTGTCACAGGGCAGGATGTTTAAAAAAAAATTAATCTGTATCTACTGGCTACCCAATAAAGGCAGTTCCCCCTCGCTCTCTTTATTTATCTTGAACGTGGTTCATCCTTAAATATTTCTTTTGATACCCTTTTATATACCGGGTGTTCAAATTAAAGTGTTACAGTTAAATACCGCTGATAATATGCATTTTAGAAAAAAAAGTTTCAGACAAAAATTTTATAGTTTTCTGGATAAATTCATTTTTTTATAGCTGATCATAATATGGCCATATCGAGGTGGACTTTGTTTTTTAAATTGGAACCCCATTTTTTTGCATATTCTTAAAGTACATAAAAAAATAAGAAACTTTTGAAGAAAATATTTTTTTTATTGGACTTTTACTTTTTGAGTAACAGCTACTTGAAAATTTTGCTGGGCGAAAATAAAAGTTGGCCATATTATGGTTAGCTATAAAAAACGATTTTAGCCAAAAAAAATGTTCCTACAAAACTATAAAACTTTCGTCTGAAACGTTTTTTTTATAAAAGGCGGTATTTAGCTATAATACTTTAATTTGAACACCCGGTATAATTATGGGAAGCTTCTTCAATGGCAAAAATTCCATGTTCCCCCAACCAGCTGTGCTTATTTTGGAAAGACAAATCCTTGTACATATATTTCCGATATATTTCATTATAAACTTCATAACTAATGTACTTAACCCCTCGTCATTCTTATATTTTTACTGTGAAATTTTGATTTAATTATTTACTTTCAGTCTCTTTATCAGCCTCTTAGAGCCGGTACATTAGTATAACGTCAGTCTTATTTAAACTTTTTTAAGTCAAAACAAAATTCCAAGCTGAAGCCGGGTATTATATCGTGATTGTTGGATTTCATAGGTACGATTACTATAATAGATTGAAAAAAAGTTTGCTTATTTTATGCTCCAAAGAAATATTTAAACAGCAGATAAAAATAGTATAAACATTTTAACAATGTGTCCTGCATAATAATGCAAGTCATGAGGTTTTGGTAGATTAAAGAAGGCGATAATATGGTGTGAACAAATAACAATTATTATCCAAATCAATTTTTGAGATATTTAGGAAAAAGTTATATTTGGATGTGTTTTTTGGCTCTAGCATTTTGCTTTACTTTAAATATTTGTGTTGAAACATTATACTATTTTCATAGTACTGAAGAAAACCATGTATACCATTATGCATTTTAGTAACGTTTTAAGTAAATTACATCAATACATCCATTATTTAACTAAGACCGATGTTGTAATGTACTCGAAAGGTTAATTAAAATACATTAAAATGGTTCCATTTAGTATAAAATGTAGTACAAAAGAATACAAAACAAATTTTGCTATGACAAAAAAAAAACAAAAATCTAAATTTTTCCAGTTAACTCCAAACCTGTTCTACATATTTATGATATTTTCACATCCTATTATTGCTGCCTCAAGATGTAAACTTTATCCAATTTAAGATTATCTGTATAATATTTATTCTCCTTGCTCTGCATTCATAATGTTGGACGCATTGTATATATAGAAACGACAAAGGTGAAATAATGAAATAAATAAAATAAATTTTTGTATAAAATAAATATTTGTAGAGACAAATTCTATAGTGGAAGTAAAACTTTACAGATGTTCGTTTAGGAAGAATTTATTTGATTATATGAGCAGTTTTTTATCGCAAATTTTGCGTAGTGTTTTAAACAACTACCTATATGCCTATGTAGATCTTCATCAAAAAATAAAATACTAATTTTACCTACTCTATGCCATTATGGCTTGGGAAGATCAATACACCATTTCACTGCTGTATGTAGAAAAGTCGTTTTGCTTTCAATATTACTTTTTACATTGTGTAAAACTATGTAGTTACTATCCTAGTTTTTCCTACATTTTGGAAAAAAGTATCTGTGTAAGAGAATGCCCTCTCTGTGAAATATTATTTATAGCATTTTAAATGTGCTAATATCAGAGTTGTCACCAAGATCATCAAAAATTCCATAAAAATATATTTGGAATAAATCCAGTTGAAATATTATAGTTTAAATCTGAAATAATTTAACATTTATTTATTTTCAAACTGAAAAACTAAAATAGTTTGAATATAAGTATAACTCTGGTGTACAAAACTAAGTACTAATTGAGAGACTTTTAAAATAAGTCATGAGCAATGAACGCCATAAAGGCATCATGTACGTTAAGTACTAGAATTACTGGATATATTTTACAAATACAGTAAGTTTTGGTAACCAACAAATGGACAACTCCGAAAAATAATTTCTTATAAAATAGGTGCATTTCCCCAACACAGACATAAGTTTAGAAGACATATTTTCAATACAATTTAGTTGTCAAACTAGGAACATACTGTATCAAAAATATCTACTTTACACATAGTTCAGTCCTTTTTGTATCATGTAACAATATTTTTAAACAAAAAATTAGACTCAAATTACTCAGCAGCAAAATAACTATGATACAACTCGGTCGTCAGTCTAATGACTTCCAAGACCAATTCAAAAATTGCCAAAATTTTATTTTCATAAATTAACTACTCTAGTCAAATTCAGCATTCAAAATGCCTTCATCGTTCTATAAATTAAGACGCGTGGCAACTTTTAAAGAGGATTTTTAAATATAAATCCAAAAAAAAAAACAGTTGATTAAAAAAATTACTTGGGGGGCCCTTGGTAAGCCTGATATGGATCATCAGGACTTGCTGCATTGGAAGTATGTTCCGAATCAACTGGAACCGCATGTATTATTGTAGACGGGTGGTAATATGGATATTGAGGTGAAATGTATGATCCAGTACCAATTTGCATTGCTCCCATTTGTGTTGTGAGCTGAAACATTAAAAAAAGTATACCTATTAAGGTACATCGAGTTTCCAGTGCATTACAATCACATTTTGCGTGATGACGTCCAAACTGCTGCAACATTTAATACAGATGTGTAACGAAGTCACTAAATATTTCTCTAGTTTAATTATAAAAATGTTTAGCTCAAGTTTATTTCCGAATACAACAATGTGTGGAAAAAATAGTTTATTTGAAAATGGATCACCATACTATGGTTACAAATGATTCGCAGTATTCAAGTGTGGAAGACAGACGTTTTAAGAAGATCTTCTATGCACTAGTGTTGTCATGAATGTTTTCCCCTCATTTTGTTAAACCAAGTGCCATTTTATTTTTAAAATTTGTTTTGGTTTAAAATATATATTGCCACATAATAATAATTGTATTGATGCAATTAGACCTAGCACAGCTGATTTAAGAATATTATAAAAGAAGACTATGGTAATGTAATGTACAAATTCAACTAGCTGAATGGCAAAAAACCTCAATAGTAACAATTATTAATTGATGTTAGTGGTTTGATGAATTCAACATGTATTCAACGCAAAGTTGAAAAAGACAGGTGAAAACAGAAGCAAGATGTTAGTTTATAAGTCATGCCATAGGAATGTCACTTAGTGTATAACGATCCAAATCGCTATAAGGTGTAAATGGAGGAATGTTAATAATATGATTCGAATTACAAAAGATGTACATATCATTACAATAATTTAATATAATTACCTGAGGTAAGAGATTAGTATAAGGAACAGCGCTCTCTGTAGATGGCATCATAAGTGGTATTCCTCGAGGTGGTTGTCCATCATTTTTATACTGAGCTGCCATGTGTCCTTGCAAATTGTAACTTTCTTCAACCGTTTGCAATGGTGGCGCCATCAAATATTGAACCGGCCACTGTCCCGTGTATGAAGGAAACTGAAAGAAATAGTATTAAACTGTATAATGTAGTCTAGTATATTTTAATTTTAACAAGCCAAATTCGATATTTGGTATATATAATTGAGTAATTGCTTTACTAATTTACAACATTCATTATAAATAGTATCTATAATTAAATATTACGATCTGCTAAAGTGCTCAATACTAAATTGGGTATTTTTTATTTTGTTAACATGAAACCCTAGTACTCTATTGAATTACTTTTTCACTGATCTACTTATACACTAAAAAATTGCAATTTGCGATATCAACTTGAAAATTTTAAATAGCATTAGATGTTAGTAAATCCTAATTAATTCAGAAATTTCTATCATTTAAAACTAATGTCTTCCTACTATAGAAAAAAGCTCTTAATCAAGAATATTTTTAAGTAAAATGTATACAAAGTTGGGGAAAATTGGCGGGACACCCTATTTGTGGCTCAATTATCGATTGTTGTGGAAATTTACTCGAATACATTTTTTTGTATATTTTATGCACTATTTAATGACACTTGTGGATTTTCGTCATTTGTCATACTTATCAAGTTATGACCAGAGATTAGAGATTAGTGACATAAAGATAGGAAACGCAACGACCGCAGCAACGATGGCGTCATCTATGCGTCTCAGATGTTAACTAAAAATATACATCGTTTGCAGACAGACCAGTGTTGCCAAATATTTTTTTTTAAGAGATCATACAAGTAGAGTAGAAAAATAGTATTTCGACAAAAAAAATCGTACAATAGGTTTATGTATAGCATAATATAGCTTAAATGGAATGAAAAAATAAAAAAAACTTTGGCATGACAATTTATTTATCTATTCATAAAAATGTTTACAACAAAAAAAAAACTATGTGGCATTCTTTAATTAACCAAAGTAAGATCTAGTCATGTAAGTAACACAAATAGGAACCAACTTTTATCACAAAGTAGGTATTTATGTATTATTTATTGCTTCAAAACGTTAGAAAGAAGATTTGATATAGGAACAAAAATATCTGATTTCCCATTATTGAATCTGCACTCAAAATTTTTAAATAAGACACCATTGGCCATTCGTTTGGAAAATAAGAACAGAAATGTAATGTTACAAATAACGATCAAAAATTAAAAAATATTTGTCAAGAATAGATTTACAATAATTAATCGATAACAGACTGTAAGTGTAGTTTCTTTTTAATAAATAATTTAGCTTAATTACATTGTTTAAATTTAATTACAAGAACATGAGAATGCAGTCGATATTTATACAACCTTTATTATCAGGGTTTTAAATTTCCCGCCTCTACGTTGTTTGATATCGATGAACGCGCCACATAGTGGGTCAGATATTAACTGCGTTAAAGCTGGTCGTTGTTAAGCATAGGCTTCTTATGAGCGTTTCCTATCTTTATCTCCCTTATCTCTGGATATGACGTTATCGGATGAAATTTTAAATGAATCACCTTGTATTTTTGTATATTTTTTTTTCAGATAATCTTTTCTTTTTGAATCCATGAATATGGAGTTCGGGTAGTCTCTGACTTACCTTATAATAAGAAAATAATAAAACAGAAAGGTAAACGTTGTTTTGATTAATTAATGAATAACTATCCACACAGTTGTCCGTGCTATCATTATGTACCAAGTTGAATTGTTTTGCCATGGTTTCACTTTTCGACATTATAAATGTCATATTGACATCTCGATATTAATCACTCAATTTCTGAAAAATTTGTATACAGAAAATCCTAAGTTGATACTTCTTTTTTAGATATAGATTTTAGACGTCCTAGATGACGAGTCACAGAAACCAAATTATGTCTTGATTATTTAGCAACGATTATCTCAGCGGCGCGCCGCGATTGATAATTTGTGGACGTTTGTCGATGTCGTTTAGAAGAGGTTAGCATATTTTTGTCTTTGTGTAAAAGTTTGTGTTTAGAAGAGTTTATTAGTAGAATATTTTTAATTTTCGAGTATTTCAAAATGATGGTTTGTTCATAAGTTTAATATAAAAAAATTAGATATAACATTGCCTACTAAAAAACTCATTAGAAGTATGGCGATATAAAAAATAAGGTGGTCAATTTAAATAAAAATGAGAAAATGATGTATTTGACTTTTTACCCACCCCGTACAGATTTGTTTCTAATTGAAAAAAGTAGTACATCGGCATACATTTTGACTAATATAGAAAACCTTTTCCCGCAAAAAAATTAGTTTTCAATTGTTTCTTTTGCACCATACAGGTCATTGAAATCAATACGATTTTCATATAAAACTGGTTCTAGCGTGTGAAATACCTGCATAATCTCATACTATTTGGTATTGTTATAATGGGAAAAGCGAGTGCAAATCAAATATTAATTATAAAAAACCTAACTTTGGTATGTATCACTTTCCTGGAGAATCCTATATAATTGAAATTATTTTTAAATTGTTCTCTTTTCTGATATACATCTTGCTGTGTAAACAGATTTTATAAATTTAAATAGTTTTTGCTCCACATACTGAGGCGTTACCGCTGTCTCACACAGTTTTATAGCAATGCAGTGTTAGAATGCCCTCCAATCTACCGAAAGACGAATTATGGTGTGGAATGGAAGACTTTCAGTAACCGGTAAGAACTTTTTAACATTATTAATTTTACTCATTAATATTATATTACTCACGGTTCACCTTATCCTGCGAGTTAATACATACCTTTCCTACAACTTTATTGAAGTATCAACTTAGGAATCACCCTGTATGGAAAAAATAGAATACTTTTGACTTACCTGATTGTAATGCCTGTAATTCGTTAACGCCGGCATCAAATGTTGACCTGCTACACCATTCTGTGCAAGAGCAGATGGATCATACGGCATGGTAGTCAAAGCTTCTGCTCCATCCCTCCAAATCTTGGCGTTTTCATTGTTCTTATACATGTTTTTCTTTTTGTTACCACCATCAGCAAATTTCACGAGAAGTGGTTCTTTACTACCCTGAAGCACTTTACTGTTAAAATTTTGAATGATGTACTCGCATTTTTCTTTGCTTTCCATCCTTGCGAATCCCACTCCTTTTGATACACCTGAAGCATCTCGTAAAATACGTGTTGATATCACCTGCAAATCAAATACCATTTTAACTCATATAATTTGTTATGTTGCTAAATTAAATTTAATAATTTTCAAAAAAGAAAAGAACAATAATTTCAAAAATGTACTTGCGACATTTCCATATAGAGGTAGACCGTTGGAAATGAGTTATTCAGGTCAATGTGTCGCAAATTTAGTTCAATGCCGAATAGTGCAGTGAACAGTTATTGTAATGAAAAACTATTTTTTCGGCAACCATCCACAAAGTATCCACGTCACGGACACTTTTTCTTTCAGTAATTATTTCTTGAACTAGGCTGGAAAAGTGTTACTTTCTCAAAGAAATAAATAATAATAGTTTAAAAAAACTAAAAAACACGCTTTAATATAAAAGCAAACTAAAAAGTGATTAACAAAAAAAATTATTTTGTTTTATTGTAGAAAAGCGTGGGGGGGGGGTGCTTGATGTCAATTTTTATAATAGTGTAATGACAGATATTGGTAAAAGTAGAGTCATTATGAAAATATATTAAGAAGCACCCCACGCTTTTCTACAATAAAATCATTTTTTTATTAATCACACTATTCTTTATTTAAATTTATTGAAAATTATTTTCTATTTTTTAGTTTCCTTTTCTATTAAAGCGTGTTTTTTAGTTTTTTTTTAAACTATTATTTTTTTTTATCAGAATTTTTATTTTTGTGTACTCTAACAAACTAAATTCGCTAGAGCATCAGGATAAAATATTTGGATAAAACGCAAAAACAGGTCGATTAAGTTTTTTTGTGGTCTTTCCAGTCATATAAAAAAAATATTTCACCCCTTTGAAGGGGTGAAACCTACCCCACTTAATTTTTAAATTATTGCATTGTCATCGGTCCTTGATAAGTGTGCAAAGTTTCAAATCAATTCGACATTTTAAAAGGGATACAAATTACGTTCAAAGATTCCATTACATAGATACATACACACAAAGTTAATAAAAGCATGTCATAAAAAAAACCATCCGGAAAGTGGATACTTTGTTCTACAAATAAATATTAAAAAAAAAAAAACGTCTATTAATTTGTTATTCCATTCGGTTGCCTAAAAAAAAAAGTTCGCAACAACCCCGGCAACTGTTTTTTTGGACTTGTTAGGTAAATTACTATTTAAAATTGCGAAAAACTATATCAGTTATTGATCCTAAAACAAATACTACATTATGGAGTAAAAAATCAGTTGAATATTATCGAAACATTAAAACCAGCAGGTGTATCTGTCATATTCAACTTGAACATCACTAACTATACTGAAAAATTTAAAAAATAAAAGATTTTCACATTGAAACTTATTACGTATACGAGGTTGCAGTCGACTCACTTGTCACAATTTTAAAGTAAGGTAATCGACAATATAATTAGTAGTAGTGTTGAAGCATTGAACATATTAAAACAGAGAACAATATTTAATTTTAACAATTTGTATTTGGGCACAGGGATTCCCAGTCCAAATCTGTACGCTTGGATTTCTCGAGTCCATTACGCAATCCGCGTCACAACCTACGTCACAAGTCATGTTAACACAAACTATTGGGCAGACGTATCAAGAAGGCAACGCTTCTTATCCCGCTTTTTTAACCGTTAACGATCTTCAATGAGTTTTTTTTACCCGAGGCGTCATTCCGCCATATTACTTTACCAAATGATTTTCTAAAAAAAAAACGCCGAAATATTGTCATAAATGTGATTAATTTTCTACAGTAGTGCAGTATTAGAATGTAAATATTGTATATTTCGTTTTGTGATATAACAGTTCGAAGAATTTCGATTAAATGGTATTAATTGTGGCCAACTTTTCATTTCTACAACGAGGAAAAACCAGCACCTTTCATGTAAGCAGTTTACTATAGTCTTGGGAATAAGTTAGAGAAACACCAAAACCTCTACATTCAACAAGTAGTATTCGTTATATTTTAAAGAAAGGGCTAACATACGTTGCTTCGCCGCTAGAGACGAGAGGTCCACATGTCAGTGACACTTTAAGATTGTCTCCGATTAAACAATTTTAAGGGCTATGACGAAAAAAAACCAGTAACCAATTTTTGTGTTGTGGCCCCGAATATGTAGAGATAATAATCATATATCGAGGGTACTCTGACGTAACCTCGTATCTCATAAATCACTATTTTACAGGAAAGGCAAAAACATTTTTTTAGCTAACAGAATCAAAAATTTTCGGTTATTTTTGTTATTGTCGTTTTTGATACATGAAGCTGCGCGGCTAATCTTCTAATGTTTATTGAAGGAGTATCAGCTACAGTATCCAAAATATTTTCCTCCAATTGCACAGTACGTACTGTTTTTGTCACACCAGCTTCAGTACTTGTTTTCCCAAAACTTCCTACAAATTATTAAAGAAAGTCAATAATGTTACCTTATTAACTGGAAATCGCCCACCAGTCTCTCTTAGACGTTGGTCAAGTCGCTAAAATGTTTTTTCATTTGGAATATTGCAAATAGGATATTTTTCTTCATACAACCTTCTTGCTTCAAACTATTGCAAGATGCAAGACTGTTCACAAGGTATCTGCATATTCACTAAATGTTTATCCCATTATCGAATTAAATTTACAAGATATTTAAAATTCAATAAATTAATATCGGAGTACTAAAAGATCAACGTGTCAACAAGATTTAAAACGCACACGTCAATGCAATTATTCATTTACTGTCGTATCACACTTTGCTGCAGACCAAAAAAATTGGAAAACATGGTTGCTTTTTAATAAAAATTAAACTTAAATTTTTTTATTTTGTTTTCTCGAAAACCGTTGATTTTCTCGAAAACGGTTGATTTTATCGACAATGAAGAAGAGTACCTTTTCTTTAGCTTAATTTTCAAGGTATCGAAATTTATTTTTTGTAACTCTTTATCATACAGGGCGTTAAAAATGTAAGCATTCAAATGTATAATCTAGTCTGTCCCTGGTAAACTAACAAGCTAATTATGTTTTAAGTAGTGGCGGTTTGCCCGTAAGGTCACTTGGGCACGTGCCCTAGTATAATAAAACAAAACAAAAATAACTTGGACGACCGGGCGTTGAGCGACGTTCCGAGAATTCCGAAATTAAGTGGAAGATGGGTACAGTAAATGTGTGCCTCTGTTGTTTTCTTTCTCATTATGATGCGAAAAACAAGGACGACAATATCGCTTAGCAAGAGATGAACACATGCGATGGATTATACGTCACAAGCGGGGCACTGTCCTCATGGTGACGTGCTGTAGATTAACTAGACCAGATACGAATGTACGCAGCGGCATCTTTACCGGCTCCCTCACAAAGACGATACCTGTTTCGGCTTAAGATGCTTATTTGTTGGACCATGATAATAATTAATTTATTGTGATTACGAAAAAAACGTTAGTTGGACCATTGGAATAGTTAAGAGATAAAACTACAAAGAAAAATAACTTTTTTTTATAAAGCAGTCAAAAATATGCTGAAAAAAAATCAATAATATTTATAAATGGGACAAAATTCTCTTTTGGTTTTGTCTGACTTTTTCGAGGATTTCAAATCTCTGTTTGTTTATTTAAGAGTATAAAAAATTCTGAGTCTTATAAATAATTTAATGGTGTACATTTTCGCAAATTGTTGGCAAGGATGCCCAAATTCTATTTTGCTCATCTCAAAAAGGTATGCGTTGGAAATTCCAGGCTTAGTTGACAAACTATCAAATATAGATATAAATATTTTTTTCTAATTTGAAAATATAAAAGAGAAATTTTTCGCTGGGAGATTTTAAATTGCCAATCACCTTTTCTTCAGAGTCGTATGCTTTAAAATGCGTTAACAAGTTAGAATTGTTAAGTAAATTGCATTCTTCTGAGAAATTTACGCAAATTTCGCAAGAGTGGATATGTAATGATTTTTTGATTAAACAGCCACATACATAGTTAAATGCATTTTGATTGGTCACATTTAGCTCCCTGTAGTCACATTCAGAAATCGTTATTGCCCAACTGATTGTTTTGAAATATATTTAATTTTCATTAAGCGGAGAACTTGTTTTCCTAAGGGAAAAACGAATCCCGGGATTCCTTTCCAGTGTGTGCCCCACTGCCGCTAGTGCCCACGAGCCGCCACTGGTTTTAAGGGCAGTATTTTAAGAGGTTCTTACTACTGTTTATCATATTAAATTTTCATTATATTATATTACGTAGTTTGAAAGTTATTCAAGAAAAATTGATTTCCAGTGGCGTCCTTTTGGAGCCCGTACCTCCGTAGGGAGGGCCGCTAGGAAAAAAATTTATGGGAATTATTTTTTAATGTTCTATCTGAATCCGAGAGACCTCCCACATTTTCCCGGACACCCTGTATACAGCAACTTAGTTTTATGTTTTTGTATTTGTCAATTCAGTGCCCTTTCAAAATAAATTTGATTATAATCCTTTTTACTAGCTTGTCAGACGGACCTCACGTCTACGTATCTGGCGAGTGTTATATCGAATTCTGTTATTTGATCAGAATAAGTTTTCTGAATTTATAGATTAAATGAGTCTATGTGTTTCTATGTATATACAAACTACATTTTAAAAATTATATCAAAAATAAACCAGTAACTTACTTGTCCATATTTGGATAGCATGTTGTCCAGATCAGATTCCTTGAAATTTGGCGGCAAGTTAGCTATGTACAAATTTGTTGGATCCTGCTCTTGTTGCTGCCAAAAAAATATTTTGTTTCAATAAATTTGAACAATATACAAAAATTGTTTTGTCATTAATGTAGATTCGGAAAGTTCAATAACAAACAACTAGTTTATCATTTTTAATATAAATATTTAAGAAAACAAAAGCTTTATTTTTAATGCTATATTAATGTGATAAATTAAAACAAAATTGGGTTTATGTGGTAATTTAGCCCACATGGAAAGAGTCTTAGGATTTTTTTTTATATTTTACTCTAATAAACAAAAAATGAAATGATATAGTGAATTTTTTTGCAAGTAAATTTGGTACTAAAATTTTGAAAATAAAGTGAATTTATTTTGAATTAATCAGACTTACGGAATCTACATATAAAAAAATCTAGTGACGATGAAGTATAAATTTAATCAAATTATTATTTTAAAATATTTGCAACATTGTTAAAATTTGTTTTATACTTCATCGTAAATCAATATAAATAATAAAATAAACATTAAGTTAGTGCCGTATATTTATTTTTCTACTTAAGATACATACTTCAGTGTTAATAATACTAATACTTTTTTTTGTTAAATAAAAAGTGCACAAAATAATATTATATTTATACAAAATGCAATTTTTAATGTTATGTTTCTTTACAACATGCAAAATGCTCTATCCGTTTAAAACTTAATGTACAAGTGTTTTTTTTTCTATGCCAGTTCTATTTAATACATTTTGAATAAAAAACAATAAACTTCTATTAAAATCTTTGAATCAAAATTTTTACACTCAAATAAAATAGTAACATACTTTGTAATAAACGAAAAATTTACAATATTCTTCAATTAATTAAATAGCCTCAATCATTTATTATTATATTTCCTAATAAAATGAAAAATAACCATCTGCTAATATAAAAAAAGCGAAAAACTACTTGTCAAAAAAACTAAATATTGTACATTAACTACCTTCACCCAAAAACAAACAGTTAAATCACCTAGTTTTCTATTAATTCTCATTAATTTAAATTTAATCATTTAAAATATTGGCATATATAAAAACGCAAATCTTTTTAAAGTTAATGCGTAAACGCGATCTAATTTTATGTTGAATAGAATAATGAATGACATAAACTAAAATACACCCTGCTTTATGTAACTAATAGTAATATTTTAAATATTACTAATTTTTTCAAACGTTCTCCCATGTTACGAGATTGGTTTGGTAAGTAGGAAACTGAACTTTTTAAGAAAATTTTCTTTTGAATCCATTTAGCGCGATGTACTGCAGCGTTTACCTAACTATTAACAATAATAACGCTTGATTTCATTATTCAAACGCATGATACTCGCCAGTGACGGTTACAATCTTTTTAAGATAGTTGCATGATGAACGTTATCTATGTGCATCCCAACAAACAGATGTTATAACTTTACTAGTCGGAAGAAACGTCTTTGCCTTCTTTGGAGCTCGTTTACCTTTCATTGTTTCATTGTTTTGACTGTTTCTTGGACCTAAATATAATATAAAGTACTGACAGGACTAAAGTCACCAGTACTAAAAGAAGTGAAGATTTCATTTGCTCAAGAGACCAAATACCTGGGAGTCATCGTTAACCACAGGTTAACATGGAATCAACACTTGCAAAAAGTCACTAAAGAGAGCAAAACATCCTTTAACTTATTTCGAAGGTTGTGTGGAAAAAATTGGTGATTACATCCGAAAATGTCCCTATGGCTATATACCAGAGTCATACAGCCTATGATAATCTACGGGTCGGTAGTGTATGGTGGCCAAAGACTCGACAAGCTAGAGCCATTCGACAGCTAAACGGTATTCAAAGGCAAGCATGCCTGTGTAGTACGGGAGCCACGAGAACGACTCCAAAAGCAGCTCTAGAAGTCATGCTAAACCTAACACCACTACATATATGCATTCAAGGCGAAGCCAGGTCTGTCACATACAGACTGCATAAAGGTCCATCACCCACAAGCAGTTTGCAATGACGTGACTACAACGAGCTATATAAAGAGTTGGAGAACGACCAAATAATGGGAATGTCTTCAAATGAAATGCTACCAAAGTACATCTTTCAAAAGCAATATAAAGTAAGTATACTAGACAGGGAAGCGTGGACGGGAGGACCTCCTATTCACGCAAAATTCACCTGTTATACAGACGGCTCCAAAACCCATGAAGGATCAGGAGTAAGTTAGTACTAAGCCAAAGACAAGAATCTCACTGAGCTTAGGTAAACATGCGACAATATTCCAGGCAGAAAAAGCAACACATCACTGCGCAAAAAAGGTATTAGGACACAAGGAAAAACCATTGTCATATAATCAGTCAAGCGACGTTAAAAGCACTCGGTTCTATGCAGGTACTTTCAAAGGCTGTGTGGGACTGTTTGGAAGCTCTGGGTAGTCAAAATAGACTAACCTTAACCTGTGTACCAGGTTACAGAGGACATAAGGGCAACGAAGAGGCTGATTTACAAGCAAAAAAAGGAGCCTCAAAGGATCTTATTGGCACAGAACCCTATTATGGTGTCCAAAAGACAGCTATCAGAACATGCACTAAGCAGTGAATGTTTAAAAAATCTCAGGAATGGTGGAAAAATTCACCTGGACAGAGACAGGCCAAAGAATTCTTACAAGGGCCATCGCCTTAACTCAGCGAGCATCTACTAAGCCATAATAGGAAAAATACTAGAATACTAGTAGGCCTATTAACCGGACTTTGTAGGCTTAACAAACATATGTATAATATCGATTTGACAGAAGAGACATTATGCCGATTCTGTCAGGAAGAGAAAGAAACTGCAGTACACGTATAATGCTACTGCGTAGGTCTATAAAGACAGATTCCTTACACTTGGAAAAGAAAAACCAAGGGCAACTAGCTACGCCCAGTCAATAGAATCTACTACAAATAACCGAACTAGACAAGGTACTCTAAACAACGATTAAAGGATATCAACAATAGATCTGAAAAGGCCGAGGTGGGGGAAGCCACAAGGCCCACAGTCCTAATTAAATCTAATCCATATAAAGTAATGGATTCAGATCGACGGTTTTGAATTGACGCATAAAATGTATCTGTGTTAAACATTCTGTTAAAATATCTACCGACTCTATCATCTGTGATCAAAGCAACGATGAACAACTAACTACTCTACCAATTTTATTTACAAAATACAAATTGCAATCGAAATATATTTAACAAACAGCTCTGAAACGCACAAAATAGTTGAAAGTGATTTCCAGGAAAGTATGCAGTTTATTTAACAGTGTGACAATAAAGCAAGCGTCGTAGTCGTAAGGTGCTGATTCATTCATAAAACGTGGGCTCCCACATATCATTCTCTCTCAATTTGGCGGGCGTCTCGCTTTTTCTATGAAACACGAATTGAATACTTGTAAGTAAACAAAGGCTTATTTATGAATAAGAGGATTAGTTTATAGTTGTTTGTCGTTGGATCGAAGTTATGAGCCCAGATACTTACCAAATCATCATCGTAATATATTAATATTCTATCAATCTAAATGTTATAATTGTGAAATAGAGATACCGAACAATGATTTATATTTAATATACTTTAAATCAAGAATAAAATAGATAGGAAATAATAACTAATAAAACAGTAAATTCTGAAAATATTTACCTTCAAATAAAATGAAAATCTAGTATGCTTTGGTTATGAAACTAATTTTCCATCTAGTTTTTTTTTTATTATTAAAGTAACTTAATGAAATCATTAGGCTGTATTTTAATTTTTGTATTCTTGTACTTCCACGTCGATGAACTCAGTTTTTAATATATCTAAATAAGTCATGCATTAATGCATAGCAAAATACGTATATTTCAACTCCAATATAAATAAGAATTAAAATCAAGTCTAGTGTATTTATTTATATTACATTATGTAAGTCTTAGTTTCAAAATGCGCATTCTCTATAAGTTATTTATATTACCACTAGAGTTGAGTTTTTTTACACTCCGCCACAATTGTTTGCTCACTCTATACTTTAAAGTTTCGCATGATCTCATAAAAATTCGATTCAGGACGCTGAAGATGGTAAACATAATTCACAAAAATGTATCTGTTGACTGGTTTTGATCATATCTGTAGATTTGGTAATATTTGTCATATTATTAATTTATCCCTAGCGAAATAAATTTAGAGTAAATGCTTTTAATAATTGTTTTCACGTGTAAGCATTTAAGACATCAAAACCATTTTCACCAGTAAAATCAGTGTGTTTCGGCAGAAAATCACAATACAACCATCAGTTAGGAATGTATGAACTTTGTCCTCGTGCTTCTAAAATTAGTGTTATTCTTTTCCAATACATCTCGTTTTTAAGAAGGCATGGTTAGACATATAGTCCAGAACACTGTGGCCTCTTGGATCTATTGTATTCCTCTGCTTTCCCCGTATTTAGGTACTATATTTGAATAGTCTTGAATCTTTGGTTAGTTTTATTAGGTTCCATATCAAGTGTATCGTTTCTAGATCGAAGAGTGTGTTGCTGCATAGCTAGAGCTTCTCATTAAAATATTATGGGGTGTGAGGTTTCTTTTTCATCCATGCAGTGTCCTGTTAGTAATCCCACAATGGTGGATATCTGGGCCTTGAAAGCTGCAGTACCTGAGTTTGGCTTTTAATGGTTATCCACTTGTTTACTACCTGTCGAGCAAAGGTTTTGCTTATTCCAAATACAGATTTGGGTCCTGTGAATGGTAGTTTTGATTTCTCTTTTCATTTTCTTGGATTCCTAGCATCCACACTAGTTTTACTTTATTGTGGGTTACCAGATAATTAAGCATTCCAAGGCAATTCCAGACCAGCTTTGAAGGCTTTAAGGCCGCTTAGCTGTCGGAGAGAGAATTAACAGTTTCCTTTCAGCCTGAAATTCAGTAGTAAGTGGTATCATCATGATACAATTAGATATATACTCTGTAGAAATTTATTTTTCAATTTTTACGTATCTAAAAGCTTGTCGACATCGTTACCATCCCTTATTCGTCCTTTGAGCAACTGTATAAAGCAATTCTCATGAATTTATACTTGGATTATTCTATTATGAAAAATTAAAACTTCTAGTATATTATATAATACATCAAACAATAAACTGAAGACAGTAAAATAATAAAGTTTGTCTTCTTTTCTTAGATTTAATTTAATGTAAATGTAATTTTTTTGAATTAGTGAAGCAAACTGGATCTGATCTTTCTTTTTTCATTAAAATTTTGGTCTAAAGACTTTTATTATTTTTTTTGCATAATAACTATAATGACAACATTTTTGAATTAAATCTATGCCGTTTTTTTTTTTAAATATTTTTCGACACACGATGTCATGCTATATTATAATTTACTCTCTGATTGCTGTCGATAAAAATCATTATTTTTCTGCTATCACTAAGAAATATTTTATCCTACTTAATACCCAAGAAGAGAGGTCAAATTTTTTAAATTTATTTCACTTAATATTGATAAAAGAGATCTCGCGAAAACTTACCTCTTAATGAGACTAAATGCAAAATATTTCAATTGTTAAAATAAAAACAAATGTAATCCAAAGTATTACACAAAATATGGTTTAGAATATTTAGTAATGAATTATTCTAATAAAAATTTTAATCGTTAATAAAGTACTTCTCGTTGCTAAAAAAATCTCAAAATCCAAATTGAAATTGTGACAGAGTGTTCAAGGTAAAGCTAGGTATTACTTGCATGCAAACGTACAGTGGCTTTTCTACGATGTTGATACCAGATACCCACTTTCGCCATTTGAGCCTGAATGTTTTTTGCAGTAAGAGCCTTGACTGCACCCTCGGCTGCGGCAGGACTCTCAAAATCTACAAAACCATAACCTGAAAATTGATAAAACCTAAATTACCCTTAGATACATAAAAAATGAAGTCAATTTTTTTAGAAATAACCATTAATTTAATAAAAACAAACATTTTGTTTAATATAATATAAAATTTTTGGATTTTTCGAATTTATTGTTGATTCAATTTCATTTACAAGAAAATATAAGAGTTTGACTTACCTTTACATTTATTTGTATTTTTATCTAAAATCGCTTTGGTAGATATGATGGTACCAAACCTAAAACAACAAAAAAAATAGAACAAATAATTAATAAGTATTTTTTATATATAAATGGGATTGATTAAATAGGGTAAGCCATTAGGTTTCAGTGTTATCAGAGACAAAGCCAGACGAGCTCAGGAAAAAAGTACATATATTTTTTTAAACCTTAAAATTAATGGTAATGTTTAGTTTAACCTGCAGACCTTTTACAACTGCATCCTTGTTAAATTTATTTAGATCAATAATGAAGATTAAGGTAATTTAAGCTAATTTTCATGAAACTTGACAATAATTAGAGATGCAGAGATATGTAAAATCCACCTGGTAATTTCAAGTAAGATATAAAATTAAAAAACACAATAAGCCATAATTCCATTTGGGGATTCAACAACAAATTTAATGAATGAAGACAACATTATATTAATATCTAAGTATACCATTTTCTTTGTTAACTATGCAGAGATACAGGGTGTTTCATTAATCAATGAGAAATTTGTTAGCTGGAGGTACCACAGGTCCAATAATGACCATTGACCTGAACATGTTTTATCCGAATATTGATGCCAGGGTGTTGAAAGTTAATATTTTAATTAATTTTTTACTATTATTTCAAAAGTTCTTAGGCGATCGACTTAAAAATTGGCAACTCCTTAGGAGGGGTAGATGTTATCCTAAATGGAAAAGGGTGTCAAGTGGCACATCATTTTAAAGGTAAATTTATGAAGAATTAATTGCGTTACTTTTGATTTTAGCCCCCTCTAATGGTTACGTATTACGTATTAAATTTTATCAGTAATTTAATGAGAAGCATACATTCTTTATTACTGAATTCTCCATAAAATTTTAAATGATGCGCCACTTAACCCCCCTCCCATTTAGGATTCTAAACGCAACATGCCTAGGGGGTTGAACCCCAAGGGCTAAAAATATTAATTGAAAATACAATTGACGTCTTTCCGATTTTTCATATTATTTATTGGAAGGAAGATACAGGCTGTTAGTATATTCGACCAACAACGCTCTACCTCAGAGAGCTCTCGTAAATTGATGAATTTTGATGTAAGAATATTAACCCTTAAAGAGATTAGTTAACGAGATACAGGGAGTTAAATTCAAAATTTGCTTTAAATCAAAAACGCTTATAATTATTTTTTAAAATTTGGTGACCGATATGCTCTTCACGAAAGTAATATTTTGACATAAACTTTTAAAAATTTAAAAAGTGGCACGTTTTCAGCGTTACTGGAAACTTTCCCCCTTATTTTGACGCCACTGGAACAAATATTTTTATTTATTGTGTTTTTTTAATTCTGTTAATTTTTAATTAAAAAAGTAATAACCTTTCATGGAACTAAAATGAACGGTGTTGTAGAAATTTGCTTCTAAACAAAAACCTGCATGTACTTAGATAATTTATAACGTCACAATACTTTTAAATTCTAATCTAGCAGACACGTGTCAAATTTTTAATAGAATAGAATTTATTCGTCAATAAAGTATTTTTACATGTATATTCTTAAAAAAAAACTTATCAGACTATTTAAAAGTTTTCAACGTTCACATAAAAACACATTCACATTATCCAGTTCTCACCAGTTTAAAATTATAGATTTTATACTTAATATTATACAAAACTTAAAATTAAAATATCTAAAACAGTTAAAATAGACATAGGTAAACATGAACCCTCATTGTGTAGTTTAAGAATTCTTCAATATTGTAAAATACATCACTGTGATGGACGTTAATAATTTTATTTTTTATGCCGTTCCTTGGGCCAGCTATATCAATAAACGTTTTAATTTTAATGGGAGAATTTTGGCCCACTCTCAGTCTCGAGAAGGGTACAAGAATCTAGTCATTATAGCGGGTATTACGTATGTGAATTTCATTGTTTAAGAGCGTACGTACAATTTTTCGGATATAGAAGTTTCAATGCTATACTGTTTCCCAAATTATGAAAATACCAGAAAATATTTTTAAAAAATTTAGAAAGCAAATTAAAGAATGTGTTTATATCTAGAAAAAAACTTGTTTGACAACATCGTACTTCTTTTATTTATGGAAACAGAGAGCAGTTGAAAACTGTGAAACTAACATCATATTTTCATTTTACAAAAAGCTTTGTCTGTTTTTTATATAAATCATATCATTTTTAAGGTAATAAATTAGAAGAAAAATCATCGAAAACCGATTTCAAAAAGGTCTATTAGTTTTTTTTGGAAATGGAAAGAGAAAAAATACTTTTAATCGAGTTAAAATTCTTTACCGACTTCGCTATTTCTCATCATAAACGTTCATGTTGGTTTATGCCGCGAAAAATACCTTAATATCTCACAATGAACCAAGAAAAACAAATGTAGTTCTGGTTTCCGTAATTCGGGTAACTTTGACTCACTCAAGAAATGATGCAGCCCTGGTATGGAAAAAATATGTGGGCTGAAGTAAGACGATTTCGAACATTCAAATTTTGTACGTATGCTCTTAAGATAACAGTTCGCGTATTTGACAAGATCTTGATAGATACAATTTTTGGCAAATTTTGAATTTAAACTTTTAACACCCTGTATCTCGTTTAACTAAGCCCATTAAAGTCTGCTTTAGACTACACAATTTCTTGTACAAGAATTTATACAATTTCTTGTACAGTTTAAATTGTGTAGCATCATACAGTAAATTGTTTAAAAAAAAATCCGATTTTTACTGTATGCAAACAAAATCATTTGAATTTTTAGTTGCACAAATCCATTCTTTTAAAAAAGACGTTTTAAATAAAAATAAGCCCTACTTAATTTATTCCAAATATCTTCGTTTTGTTATCATTTTTCTTAGTCAAGTGAGCTCATTTTTCCTATTTAAACTTCTTTGTGATAACATTTGTATTAATAATAATTATTATAAAGCAACATTAAAATAAAAAAAGACGAGGGTACTTTGAAAATGTATCCAGTCATCAGGGGGATCTCTCAAAAGGAGTCAAGAGAATTCGGGGAATGCAAAAGAACGACTCTCATTAAGCAAAAATCACATGAATAACAAAAATCAGTTGATGATTTAGGCAGTAAAAGAACATTTAACAGGTATCTTAATGATAATCTTATTTCCAGATTTTGGAATGGGAAACCAAAAACAATCGTACTAATCGTGCTGTCAAACTATGGAGTAAAAGGTATTAGGTTTGGGTAGGTTGAAGATGAGGGATGATCACATCACCTTCCTCTGCGATCTAAATGGATCCTTAATTATAGTTCATCGTACAAACCACACCTTTTGAGTTAGGTGAGATTTGTTTACAGTTAGTAGGCTCAAGTAGGGTTGCCACCTTTTTGAAAAGTGAATAAAGGACTACGATGCTGACAGGGGCTCCGGTATACAAAAAGTCCTCATCTTTCTACTGAACTTCTAAAAAAAAGGTCGCCTAGCTTGTAACAAAACAAAAATCCTCCTCGTCATTCTACAGAACTTCTAAAAAAAAACTTATATATTTTTGTACAAACCATGTCCCTTCTAAAGATCTATGCCCTGTGCCGTAAAAAAGCCATATGCCGTAAAAAAGGACATTTTAAGCTTTAAAAAGTCACAAGGACATTTTGCTTCAATAAAGGACTGTCCTTTTCCAAAAAGTACAGGTGGCAACCCTAGGCTCAAGTTGGGTGGAGCCAAATATCTGGGAACTAGTTTTCTCCAAGGCGGAACAGGGATATAGAATGTGCTCTGCAGATTCGTTTTCTACACTGCAGAATCGAAAGTCTGATAATTGTTGTAGACCTATCCTTCTAATGTGGTTACCTAGACGATAATTCATAGATTGTTCCTAGTCCATTCACGAATTTGAGCAGAGACGAATAAATTAGTCCTGGGGGGGTATGTATTACTCCACTACATGAGTGTTACAGTCTCTGTCGATTTTAAGAAGGTATTTTAGGAGCACAAAAAGAACTCAGAATGCACCATTCAAAGGCAAAAACTAAGCACACCAATGTAATGCATGTATTAACAAGAGCGTAGACATGTGACTTGGGAAAAAAAACTGAATTGAAGAACTTGTCAGTATGATTGAAAAATTTTAATTATAACTATAACAATCGCTATAACCAAGAACTATAAAATTCTTGTAAATTTTACAAGCTATTCAGTCCGTTTTGTTAACAAAAATACCAATATACTTACTGCTGGCACATATTAACTAAATCCTTATCAGTGGTTCCAGGATTCAATCCCCTTATATAGAGGTTAGTCTTCGAAAGCTGCTCTGATCCGGAGGAAGAGTTGTTAGAAGATGAATTCGTGTTGTTAGGCATATTGTTGCTAAGACAGGTCGACACGTTGCCACTTTGGCTTCCTGTGTGACTACTGGAACTACTTGCATTCGACGGCGATGTCGCTGTTGGCACTCTTTGATTTGTGTACTGAAAAGATAAAGAACAGGGTTATAATTTAATAAAATTAATTTATTATAGTATTGAAAGTTATGATTGTACATAGTTTAGTCAATAAATGTTAGTTTTCCTACAAAAAGAAAAAAGTATTTAAGTTGTGCTGACCTTACAAAGTTAGTAAGTCTAACCTAATAAAATATAGATAGATGTGTTTGAAATACAAGTAAAATCATACTTGTATCTTATGATTTGATAAATTAAATAATCAGAATATTTACCGGGAACACTTACTTTCCGCAATGATAACATTTTTATATTCCCAATAATGTTGACGTGTTTGTTTAATCAGATTCTGGGAATCACTCAATACATAAATCGATATCTCGTTACAGAACAACTGATAAATGTGAAAAACAACATTTATGATATAAGTAATTCGATGGTTAGATTAAACTGTAGGATAACATAAAATATTAACTTTTTGATATATTATTAATAGTTTTAAGACATCAGTAAAACATTAGTCGTGAATTATTTCACTACTATTACAGAAACTAAACCGTTTATAAATGTAGTTATTTTAAAATTCATGTTCAATATTTGTATTTGTCAGTAGGTACATTATTAAATGTAGACTTGTTTACTATTTGACTTTTATAACACCAAATACATCCATAATCACTATTTATGTAACAAGAAAATAATATTTATTCATGAAAAATAAATATAAAACCTAACAAGAACGATTTATTTTGTACTCGTGGACTAGAAATATTTAAAAATATTGAATCACCCTGTATAAGATATAACTTATATCGTTGAAAAGCATGTTTACTATATAGTTTTCCAATTATTATGTATGATAAATAGAAGGTTGACATATTTTTGTTGAGGTAGTTTGTTGACGTGGTGAAGGGGGTTGATGGAGGGCGAGTTATGTATTTTAACGGTTTTAAGCATTTTGTGATATTATTTTAATTTTATTAGAAATAGTCATTGTTAAGATTAGTAAGATGAGACGCTATATTCATGCCGTAAAAACAGAGCTAGTCCTTTAAATTGGAGTGTTCACATTGTTTCCATTCTGAACGGTATATAAAATTGTTTTTTTGTTTTGAATGAATACTGTTTTTGAGATAGGTATTAGAGAAGCTCCCAAAATCATTTAAAAAGAAACATATTCTAATTGAACAGGCATATACAACCATAAAAAATCAATAAATTCTCCACAAGAAAATTAAATATTAAATAATTTTCTTGTGAGATATTTTGTTCACATAAAGCACAATATCACTCTAGCTAAAATTCATGCCAAACACAACGTATTTGAATTACCTGATTCAGACTGATCTAAAAGAAATACCTATTATTTTTCATTGGTTTCTTTTTTATGTCCGTACGTTAAGTATATATTAAAAATGTTTTCTGTTGTTATTCTTTGTTTACTTTCTAATTTGGATAGAAAAATGTTTATTTTTAGTTTCTTATATATTTGTTTTTTTTTTATTTACTACACTGCAAATTGTATTAAATCTACTGTTCAAATCTACCTACTGTTTTTTTTCACCAATACTGTTTCAGCAAATGTTTATCTGGCAACACTGCCTAGATCGAAAGAATGCAACAACCATTTCTATAAAATATCGACTAATCACCTCGAAATACAAGCGATGACTAATGACGAATATGCTACTTTCCGCAGTAGCTGTCACAAAATGTCAAACATATCATTTTTATTTTGATCTATGTAATGTCCATATTAATATTAAAATCGATATGATTGTTGAATTATTGAAATTGTTGTAAATTAGATCCTAGATATTTATCTTTAACAATTATTTTTAAAATAATTTTAAAATAACTAAGATATATTTGCTTTTTATTCTGGTTAAACACATAAGCGATTAGATCAATCAATTGCCGTAAGGCCTGTTAGCTCAGTTGGTTAGAGCGTCAACTTTGTAATTTGAGACCGTCGAGAGGCGGCGTTCAAATCCTGGCTGTGCCAGAATTTTTTTTTTATTTTTTTTTGTTTAATTTTTTTTTATTTATTTAGAAAATATGAAAATTGAATAAATACGATTGTTGATAATTTTTTTAAATACATTTTAATTATTATAATAATAACCTGGTTTTACATTTTTTGATGAAATTATTTTGCGGTCGTAGGAAAAATATTGTACATTACTTGTGTGAAAAGTGATTTTCCACACTCGTAATGTAATATACTATTTAAAATTCTATCACGTCAGGTTTTCTTACAAAACTCATATCAAAACTTCCTTATTTACCGAAAACTTGAAGCCTATAGTAAAGAGCTGGGCGAAAGATTTCTCTAGGATGTCCGTGATTTCGAGAGACGATACCAAGGAAGATGGGACTTCAACATGCTAGTTGATTACTGCATGCTCAGGAGGGACACAGAAGATGGAAAGCGAAAGGGTGTTCGAAGGATCATCAAAGAGAAGAAAAAATTTTTTCCCAGGCATAAAGGGAAAACTTGTAGTGTTAAATATGTCACGAAGGAATAGTTTTGTTTATCAATTATAAGAAAAATTATGCATAGTTAATTTTAATAAAATAATGTTTTTTTTATTGCTGTACGTGAAAAAAGGACATAGAGGTCATTTTTGAATTCAGCACGCTATAAAATATAAAACTTACAAAAAAATACAATGCAGCTGAAAACAAAATGTTTTTTGCAACCTGTGTTATTTGAGTATTTAATTAGACAGTTAGTGGCCCCAAGTCAAGCGGTCCAGTTGTATACGAATTAAAAACTAGTTAATTTATTACGTATATTGGAGAAAATCATTTTCAATTTCTACCATGATGTTCCCGTATATAAAACTACTGTGTGGTCAGCAAAACTAATTAGTTGAAGATATATAATGCTTGGCATTCTAGATTATACTCTTCACACTTTAACAGACTCCCTTAACCCCCACTTCCAATAAGATTTTTTTCAGAATCAATCCCTTATAAAGCTTTATTTTTATTTTTCAATTTGATATCGTTTTTTGTTACTGAGTTAGCATTTTTTTTTAAATATTTCAACCCCCTTATCTCCCCATTTTATTATTTATTTATGCATTTCTTTAGAGAGCTTGATTTTTACTAAACATTTCATGTTTATATCGCTTTTGGTTTTTGATTTCTTTTTTTTTATTTCAACACCGATTGACCTCCATTTTATTCAGTTTTTTTAAATCAATAGACTTCTTTGTTCCAAAAATTTCACGTTGATATCGCTTTTCGTTTTTGATTTATGATTTTTTTTTTAATTTCCACCTTCTTAACCCCACATTTTTAACGATCTAACAGAAAGTTCAAAATCAATAGGCTTTGTCCCTTTATATATAGAGCTTAACTTTTTCTAAAAATTTCAAGTTGATATCATTTTTCGTTTTTGAGTTAGGATTTTTTTTCATTACTTCAACCCCCCCTTAACCCCCCATTTTTATTCAGATTTTTCAAAATCAATAGGTTTCGTCCCCTTATAGAGCTTGATTTTTCCTAATTTTTTTAAATTTTTCGTTTTTGACTTATTGTGCGGACAAAAAACGTGATATCAGACGGATGGCCAAAGTAAACCTATCTCTTCACAGACTACTGTGTAAAGAGTATAATAGTAAGATCGGTTCAAGTACTGCTCCTTGCGGAACTTCAAAGGTAACAGGCTTGTTTGTATTAAAGAAGAATATGCTGATAGCTGGAATTTTGTAATCTTTTACTTCAGACATTTCTGATGTTAATTTATAAATAATAAAGAACTTTTTCTATTCCTATACTATAAGTTGTTAATTTAATGCTAATTTTCAGTTTCATAATGATACTCATTATAACACTGGTTTTTATTATGAAACTGAAAAATTGACCAATAGAAATCTAGATTTTTAAATGACCAAATAGGCAGATCCAATATTTTCTGTAGAATGTTTGACAGTTTCTAAGAGATTCGTGTTTTATGACAGTTTCAATCTTTTGCGTTAGTCAAAAAGGTAGATAGGTACCTCTCACTTATTTTTAAAAAAATGTCGAGCGACGAAGAGTTTTCTGCACCATCTGAAATCGCTGAAAAGGCGAAATATGTATCATCATAGTTATTATAATGGTCGTGTAGGAATAAAAATTAAATTAATATTTTATTTCTTGTTTGTATAAAAAAGTATTAAAAAATTAAAGCAATGTTGTTGAATTGAAATAGTGTCTTGGTCGTAGAAAAAATAGTGCATGCAACTCTCATGTAATGGCTATTAATACATGATCGTTGCATAATATACTATTATTGGACGCGAATAGCGAGCAAGGCCAATGAAAAATGCTAATTCATAAATTTCAAGATGCATACAAAGCATTATGTTTTACTATTAAAACTGTGTCAATATCTAAATAGTTTAATTTATTTTTAACTTTTCCTTAAAGTTGATACTTAATAAAAAGGACGCTCCTACGCCTAACATTGTTTATAGCAAAGTATTATACAATGTGAAGAGCAAACAGTAAAGAGCAAATTACTCGTAAGTAAAAAAAAGTAGCGGCGAGTTTGTTATTCGTACTTAATTAAATTATTTTCAATTTGAACTAATATTAATTGTTTAGAATATTTTTTTTAGAATAATGTTTTGTAAGCGCTTTGTAATCAAGTAATTTCAATTTTTAAAGTGTAGCAAAATAAAACTAGGATTAAAAAATTGTTATTTCACCTTACACTTTTCAATTGCTAATATTATTCCTTCAATATAAATTAAAAAAAATGCGAAAAGTTAAGATTGTTTAGAGGAGAGACTGGCGTATTTAAGTCTCTTGCTAAAGAATGACTAACCTTCCTTTAAATCAAAAACCACCAGCAATTTAACTTTTATAAACCAGACTGGAGGTTGATAAGATCGTAGTTATATATGATAAAACAACTAATTTTCCTGATAGGTGTATTTTAAACGTTTTATAAATACATGGTAATGTTATGAGTTGGTGTTTGATATTTGATTATTATTATTATCGGGCTTAAACGAAAATTATTATTTACG